GGACAAGGTGCATTCTGTTTTGTACACTTTAACACGGTTTCTCTTTTAACCTGAACAGTGTATATCCAGGGATCTCGAGCTCCTGGCCTGTGAACCCCTTTCTGGCCTACAAACCACCCACATCAGGCTTGAGGATAGAGGTATGTTTTTTTCCAGTTGTTTTTTTTAATTTTTTTAAAAATATTTCTTTATTTTGGATTGAACGTAGTACACTGGTGTGGCCCTCCAATAAAATGACAGTTGCAGCATTGGCCCCTCTGCTCTTCTGTGTTTCGGACCCCTGGTACCAGGCTGAAGTGGGACACAGTGGATAAATGTCCTTTAGTTTTACTAATTTACTTCATTCAAAAAGAATCCAGTCACGTCCCTTTACTTTTTTCATTCAAAGATAATCTGGGAATGTTTCAAAACAACAGGTCATTCAGACTCTGATACTAACAAAGTAAAGTCTAACAGATTCAAATGTATTCATTTCATTTATTTAGAAAATGCAACGATCTTTAATGATGGCGCAGTATTACCACAGTAACGGCTGATACCGGCCGACCGCTACCTGGTACAAAAAAGGTTGGGGGCCACTGGTTTCAGTCACTAACCTTCAGTTACTGGCAATGAAGCGCTGACCTCTCACAGGTGGTTCATATCCCCCACCCTACTCCCAGCCCATGCACACCCCACCCAGTTGAAAACCACATTGTGTAAATGGACAAGGGTGTGGATATTTGCATTGTTTTATAAGAATGACTGTGTAGACAGGTTTTCAGTCCGTAGACACTAAACACATGCAGTGTTCAGCAGTCGGCTACGCGGGAAGAAGCCGCTTGCATGAGGGGTTTTAAGAAATCCAACCCAGATCAATTGTTGCAATTTACAATTTACATTTGTTTATTTACAGCTGGCCACCGCAATGAAAACAAATGTGTTTTAGAAACAAACGTCAATTGTGAATAGAATCACCACAGCACCAAAACAAACATATTTTCAGGCAAACAAACCAAACAATGCAGCCTTCAGTGAAACATCAGTGTTGCTGCTCCTTAGTTTCAATGCTAATGTTTCACTATTGTCTCAGTGGTTTGAGGGACATCAACACTTGACTGTGTTGTAGTGTCAGTGGAGCCTCCAATCAGTTCTCTCCATGATGTAGTGAGTTATAAATATATTATAACTATATATATTCTCAACAAGTAATGACCAAGGCCGGTCAATCACAATAAAGGTTCAGTTTAAATAGCTTAAAACACAGGTGTCAAACTCAGGCCCGCGGGCTAAATCTGGCCCCTGGTGTAATTCAAAATCATATCAAATGTGTACTAGAGCTGGCCCACCATTATAAAGCCACTATATACTGGCGGGAGTTGTAGTTTTGGCGATGTATACATTTTCGGTTGTTGTTTTGTCGGCCTGTGACAAAAGATTTATATCTCAAAGGAACTCAAATGCTAGCGATAGCGAGAGACATATAATACCACTGATGTGTGTCTTATTTCAAATTTAATTTCCTCATGTGTTTATAATATTAAGCTTTGGTTGTTCCAGATTTATTGTTTACGCAAAACTGAAGTTTGTTTCCACATGAACAAATTCAACATTACAGATCTGGAGAGAAGGGAAAATATGCAGGATTTTACAGCAGTTCACAGCAGTGTAGCCGCCACAATTGACGCACGTTACTACTTTGACATGACATGACATGAGTTGTGTGTGTATCTGTCTGTGTTTAGGGAGAGTGTATATTAGAGCACATGCTGCCACAACAAAAGCAGGCCTCACCATTCCACTGGGGGTGACCAGCTGCGTAAACGCACTCGTCTGAATAGTTTAAAGAGCAACAAACCCTCACCACGGACAACAAACTCAGTCTTTTAACACTTAGTTCCACTAATAACAACCTTTATTTTGATAAAAACAAAAACCTCAACTTATATACGCAAACTAGGGGAGGGCTACGGCAAATGTGTAGCGTACATTTTTTTCTTCCTTTTAGCCTTGATTTTGGGCACTGGCTCCAGACACACACGTAATGACACACTAGTGAGTGTCCTTAGGTATGACATTAGGTAATGACAGTGATTTGTCGACATGCTTTGCATGGGCAAAAAGCCACAGATGTACATTTATGTCTACCATTAAAGTATCAAATGTTTCCATGTCTGTTCCACCTATAGCTTTTCGATTGTTTAATTTAATATACCACCAAAACAGCCACACCCTAATTACAGTGATTCAATTTAGGATGACAGACTGGGCTAATGATGCCTCACAGGGCATTGAAATCAATAGGTCAGCGAATGATCTCATTCAGGTCAAAGCAGAAAACTGATTTACAAAAGTAGGTTTCCACAAAACTCTAACAGTCTCAGTCAACTATCCTCAGTTAATGAGTCAAAGTATTCCATATTACATATTAAAAATATTTGAATTCACACACTCAGGGTACGTTTCACAGGACACCAGGTTGAAAAGTTGTATTTCACGAAGTTGACTAGTTGACTGGTCCTTCTGTGTAGAGGTAAAGAATGTGTGTCTCTGTATGTGTGATGAACTGGTGAACTGTCCAGGGTGACACTTTGATCAGCACAAACTCCCTGCGAACCCTTAAAAGAATTAAATGGTGATGAATGACGAACAAATTGACATTCTTCATAAATACATTTCACATCACAGGTGAAATCTATTTATTGATTTCGACTGTTTCTGTAGAAGTGGTTTGTAGGTTTGTAGAAGCGGGGCAGTGGTGGCTTAGTGGTTAAGGAAACAGACTTGGTTCTGGAAGGTTTTAGGTTCGAGTCCACCAGCTGCCAAGTTGCCACTGAGGTGCTCTGAGCAAGGCACTGTCCCCACTCACTGCTCCCCTGGTCCTTAAAGCTGCCCACTGTTCACTATGGTGATGGGTTAAAGCAGAGGTCACAGTTGGTCACAATGACAAGGAGTTCACTTTCCTTTCCTCCTTCCTAGGTTGCCTCACCCTGACCCTCCCCGCCACATTCCAAAGAGAAAGTTTCTGCTCACAGTGGCAACAAAGCCATTAGAGATCTGCCCCATCGTTTATCGCCCTTGTTCTTTTGTCAAATCCTAATGAAGGAATTCAAACACAGAAGCCTACAAAAGACAACACGATTGTGGCAGCAGTGGATCACTGACTCTTGTGTTAGACAAATATAGCTTTCTTAAATGACTCTTAGCTTAACAGGCAAGGGTGTGGTTGATTTTGGTAAAATTACTAAGGAATCAATGTTAGTGTTTATGTCAACAATCTTTATATAATTCTGACTATGGGTTTGTTAAAATGACCAATTTGTGTTCTACCCAAACGTGTCATTTCTTCTCCCACAGGCTTTGCAGCAGAAAACCTTACCATCAAATGTGGGATGGAGGACACCACACTGACGACTTGACACAATATGAGGTGACAGAAAACCGATTGGTGCAAATGATGGAATAATGGTAGTGGTTTTGACATCTATTGTCGAAGGTAACATTTGAAATACTAGACTGATGAAACCCAAGTCCTAGAAGAACTTCCTGAATATGAAAGAAGTCAATATCTCGCCATGTTAAATCTTTTATTATTTTTCAAACACTAACACATACACCACATACAAACTTCAGTTTAGAGTCAGAACATGGATTCATTTGAAGTCACTGGTATTGCAACGTCAATATCAGTGCACAAGATTGGATTAGAGACACAACTAACTGGGATGGAGCCCAGACAAATGTGACAACAGTTCACAGTGCCTGGAATAATATAATGGAAACGTCCCAATAAAAAATGATGTTTTGTTGTTTGGCTTCGCTGTGCTGCTGACAACCTTTTAGGGAAATTGACAAATGTGATTCTCTTTGTGTTATTATGAAACAAAAAACTGCAGTTGAGCACAGTTTTCTTGTAGGTGTTGATCTAGGTGTTGAAAGAAAGCAAATATCCCCCACTAATATATACTGTAGTGTGTTTAACATGTCTTTGTGTATATATAAATTGATATTTTTAATTTGTTTTTGTTGTTGTAATCCCCTTCTTTTTTGTAAAAAGAAATTGCTGCACGTTCAAAAACACATTTACTCCACATCAAATTGTGGACAACCGTTTGTGACTAATAGTCAGATATTAATCAGTATCAGTCAAATACTGACCGACAACTTAGATGAGTATGAGTATCTTACCAAGGTCAATTTCAAATAGACAATATGGAATCGATCGTTTCCAAAGCTAAAATGTTTTAACTATGACAAATACTTTAAATCTGTTTGGCCACCATCTATCCTTCGGTGTTTGACATTAGTGATGTGTCGTTCGCGAGTGATTCCCGAGTCATATGAAAGATTCGTGACTCGTGACTCCTGAGTCATATGAAAGATTTGTTCATATTGAACTCACGAATCACTCACAAATCACACTCTGCGAACTAATCTTTCACTGCGAACTAATCACTTATTGCAAACGAATCACTCACTGCGAAATAATCTTTCACTACGAACAATCACTCTCTGCGAACTAATCTTTCACTACGAACGAATCACTCACTGCGAACTAATCTTTCACTACGAACAATCACTCTGCGAACTAATCTTTCACTGAGAACGAATCTCACAGTTCGTTCTCACAGAGTCGTTCAAAAATTCGTTCTCAGATTTGTTTCATTTGTCACGTGACAGACAGCTCGGGTCTCTTTTGCTCTCATTCATCTTCACATTGTGTTTGTGTGTTTTTCTTTCTTAGGTTTTGACATGGTTTTAATTGCTTATGGCATTTTGTGTACTTTGTAGACTTTGTCAGCGGAAGAAAACCAGGTTGCCTTCAGTATTTAGTGTCGGAGACCCGCAGCCTTCTTTACAACGCCCACAATAGGGCTAAAGCGCCACCTGCTGTAAAACGAATGAAATGATTCATTTTACTGTTCGAGAGTCAAAGATCCGAATCAGTAAAAAGAGTCGGTCTTCCCATCACTATTTGAAATTGCTGGAGCAACTGAATTTCTCACTGCCTCTCTTCAATTGCACTTGGCTCCGCTTCACTTTTACACTCCTTTTCCTACTCCGCCCACTCTCTTTCGCGTATGAAGTATGACGTCACACACGGTTGTTTTGGGTATTGTGATGTTTTCTCGCGAGATTTTCTACATGTCAAATAAGCAAAACCAGCACAGGATGTTATCTCGCGTGGTCGCCTTCAGCGGAAGCCCACCCTTTTGTGATGCCTACTGCAGTGTGGTATATTAACAGCGAGGGCAGCTCTGGGAGTCTAGGCGGAGCTGCGGCAAGGTCGACATCAGCATCCTGTCCGAAGTAGGAGGAAGGCTAGAGGTAGACGGACGTTAGTCTGGAGGCAGCGAGTGCACGACACTGGTCTCTGCCGTTGGACCTACTGGCACGAGACAAAAGAGAAAAGAAGCCAAAAGTTTCCCGCCTGTAACTCATATTTCTGGGTTAGCTACCGAGCTACTCTTTACTACGGTTGGTGCCTGTCTTTTCTCTGTTAGAAGGAAGTCACTTCTGAAGCTTCGCCACTTCATCCGGTTTAGTTTTACACACTATTAAGTGGTTATCCAGACTGACTTTCTCCCTACTTTCACTGGTGTTTTGAGCCATGTCTGCGCCATCCGCGCCTTCCGAATACGATTTTCTTGCCCCGGATCCTGGACAGAGGCCGCTCGGTCCGACGCCGAGTCAGAGCCGCTTCCAGGTGGACCTTGTGGCTGAGGCGGCTGGTGCCACAGAGGACAAGTCACCGGGCTCTGATGTCTCTACCGCTGCCCCATCCAGCGACAGCAAAGCCACTCCCGGCGCCCCCCAAGATGATCAGTGCTCCGATCCAGGAACTGGGGGAGAGGAAGCCAAAGGCCGGTTTCGGGTTGTGAATTTCGCGGATCCGAACGCAGCCAGTAACGCGGCCTCGCCGGAGGGAGCGCCGTATGAAGGGCTGCAGAACGGAGACACCGTAATGAGTGAGACGAGCTTGCATTCATCCACAGGGGGCCAACATCACTACCACTACGATACCCACACCAACACCTATTACCTGAGGACTTTTGGACACAACACCATCGATGCCGTGCCAAACATTGATTTTTACCGCCAGACGGCAGCGCCGCTGGGGGAGAAACTCATCAGACCCACCCTGTCAGAGCTGCACGACGAGCTGGATAAGGTAAGCCGCCACACATGGCCGGAGACACGGGCAGTGACAGCACTGAGTTTGTGTAATGTCCCTGATGGAGACCAGCCCAAACGTCGTGCTAGTTTGGAATGTCGTCCGGTCTTTTGCACCCCTGCCTTTCTCCCTGATTCCAACCGTATGTTGAGTACAGTCGTTGTCATTGTGTGCATACCCACAAATAGCAACAGCGCGTGCCTTTTCTCTCCCACCCCTCTTTTCAGCAGCAAAGGCATGTTTTGGTCCGAAGATAAATACTGAGGCTCCTGTGACGTAAATCATCAACATGGCTTTGTTTTTATTCAATCTTTCTAGAATTTATTTAACCACATGATACGTAGTAATCTGATAAATATCCTACCCTGGACTCGTCGACTGAATTCTTTGGAGAATAAAGGAATTTGTTGATGACCATGTTTGGTGTTTAGATTTTATTACAAGACACGAGATTTTTTTTTTTACTTCCAGATACTACTCAAGAAAAACGTGTCAATGTCGATATATTTTAGGAAAATGTGGGTTTTTGGTTTTTGTTCAATTTTGTGTTCAACAAACATTTTCTAGAGTAGAGCAAGTTTTAAAGCCAAACGACTTCGAGCACTGAGAAATCAAACCTGTTCCAAATCCTAGCTGTTACTAGTTTATGGTACATAAGCTAGTACCACACACAGGAACACTTCATTGTTAAAAGCTTCTATGTCTTTAATCATAACCTGACTGCTCTGGTGGGTGGTAAACCCACATTCTTTTTCTATTTACTGTGAGATAGTGTAAACTTTTTGTTTCGAAGCCATTTCTTCACGAACAGTTTGGTACCGTTAAAAGCAAACCAGACAGATTAGTTTTCATCTGTTTATGTAATCTTTCATTTAAATCAGCTTTTGTTGGTGATCAGAAGGACACTAGGGTCATGCCATCAGCAGACCTCCTCCACCACAGATGATTTTCTCACATATGCCGTAAGTGCCCTCCCAGGTCTGAGTCATCTCTGGTGTAACATCAGAGAACTGGAGCGTGCTTATCTGACCCCTTCTTTGTTGCTCTTAATTGTCAAGGATAGATTTAGATACATCATAAAGTGGCATCAGTGGTCTGGCTCATAAACTACGACTTTTTCACATAAATTCAGAAACATTTAGGGTATGCTTCTTTTTTAGTTTTATATAGTATATATTTTTATATTTGAATTATATTTTATATAAACTGTCATTTATTTTATATATTTATATTGTTTAATTTAATCAGTGTATGGGCTGATATTTAGTTTTTAATCCTACAATGTAATGATTATGAAAATTGGGAATGTCATTTTCTTCTCTGTTTTTATGAACTAGAGGCATTGCTGTATAAAGTGCTGGCATGAAACTCTTTGTACAAACATGCCCTTGGAATTGGTCTTTTGAAGTTGGGAGTGCGTAACAAACTGGAAGTTCAGGCTTTTTTTTTAGGTCATATGAGGTACAAATACAGCGTTAACTGATTGTTTTGTTGTTGTTAGTTTCCAATAAAAAACCTTTTAGGGAAAAATAGAAATTGCATTCAAATATATCGAGCTAATGGTAAGAAGTAGAACAGGAAAAACAAATATCAACACCTTGTCACCACTTTACTATAGCGGTACACACAAAGGGTTGGCACTGTTCTTGCTGTGGTTACGTTGATTTGTTTTAGGCCTAGCTTTAGCCCTATCCAAAACGAGTACATACAGTACCTTTGAGGTGGTCACATAGATGTTCAGTGGACACGGTCTGCATTCCAACACTGACAACAGCCATGGACAGCAGCTTTAAATAACTCACCAGAACATACAGTACACACACTGCTATCACATCTGTCTTTTTTTTTGTTCTTTCTACTTCTGTATAACTAATTTCACCTGGTTGTTCTTGTATTTTTGTCCAGTGACAGCAGAGACTAGCTAGATGTTAGTGACTGACTGAATTGCAGATGGTTTTATGTTTGCTCAAATCCGTTTCCCCTTGCACATGCCGCAGTTATTACTGACCACACACAGCCAATCATAGAGCTTAGACTCATGATTGGCTTTGTTGAAGTTCTTTATCATGCAACTTCTATTCTCTGTAGCTACAAACACTCAAGGCTTCATCAAAACTGTTTTAACTTACGGTTCGCCATAACATTGTCTGTGTCTTTTTGCACACATGGTTAAAGAGGGGTTCTAGTTGTTTTTACAGTTCTCTTCTAGTTCTAAGAATATATACTTTAGTTGTCAAATTAAGCACAAGACATGCAGATATTCACCCATTTTGATTCAAAGCTGTTCTCGTAGTGGTTTAGTGTGAAAACTTTGCTTCTTATCACTTATTTGTACAAATCTAGAACATTGCTAGTTGTTGAAGTTACTAAAACATTTTCATACCACTGTCCTTGTTGGTTTATCAAACAGTTTCAAGGTTAAATACTTAAATCTATGTAAGCAATGCATTCCAGAGGGGAAGACTGAATAAAATGATTATGATATTAACTAAAGCAAGCAGATCTTAGTTGTAATAATTTGATTGTGAATCTGTAAGTGCGGGTCAGTCATTTTTTGAACACAGAGGTTATTTATTTATTTATTTTTAATTTTTGTTATTCTTGAAGTATATTTGAAAGTAAAAATGTGACTCTTGGTTTCTTGAGAGATGTTTACTGCATTCAACCTCACTGTTACACTTAAAACTTGCATGACCATTTAGCCCTTAAGTACACAGGAAGTGGATCATGGACACAGAATTGCTGTATGTCAGGGGGAGGGTAGCAAAACATAGCCTTCCCTAGTGTTCAAGCTGTTCCTGCTTAGGTGAAAGGTTTATTCAGTTATTGAGAACTGAGAACATGGTGTGGTTCTCATCATCCAGTATTATCTGTGAACTTACTAACAACAACCATGACAGTACAGTAGCTTTGGATCATGTGGCAAATCACCTTTAAAAATATGTTGTTTTGTTTTTTGTTTTTTTAGAAAATCACACTTTATCTGTTGGTCATGTGTTCTTGATTCATCCTGAAAAACAATTATAATGTACTTGTAAATACACATCAGTCCTGCAGCTTGACCTTTAATCCCCTTTCTTCAACAGCAGAAAATAATATATCTAGTCAGGCAGACAGACTGTACGTATGGGTACAGCATCTAAAGTGGTGTATATTTAGATTTTGTTTTTTTGTAACTGACATTGGTTTTTAATGATCCCTATTTTTATGGAACAAAGGCTCTTGGCTTGGGTTCTGATGTACAACAGGTGGTGTGACAGTTTAATCTTAGTGTGAACAGGATGTCCATGATCACCATTCATGTCACTTGTATAGTTAATAAAATTCAGGAAACCCTAACCCTTTAAGGTTTCTCAATAATAACTGAATCACCTCCATATCCAGCAATCTAGTAGCTGGTGATGAAAAGCACGTTCTCAAGGTTACATAACCAAAGAAGGCTCCTGTTGTCCCGCTGTACAAAGTATGCCGGGCCCTGAAAGCAAGTATCTAAACACAGTATCAGAATCACTGCTTCTTGCAGCTATCTATCAACTGGTAAAGGAAAGAATTTAATTAGCAGCTGCTTCTGGCTTCTTGTATTTATGAAAGCTGCATTGTTTTTGCCCTATTTCATGTTAAAAATGACTTCAGCAGTTTTGTGGTTGTTTGGAGGTCACTGCTACCTTGACGCTCCCTCTTTTGTCAAATCTCAACATTCAAGAGTTTTCCACCATGTTTTTGGCTTGCACACATAAACATGTGGAATGGAAATTCCAGAGTACTAATTGAGTGTAGACCATGGATTTTTTTTTTTTTTTTTTGCAGCCAAATCAATGAGTCAGTGAGTGCAACATCGGAGCAGATACAGCGTTTGATGCCTGCCCCTTCTCTGTGATGACAAAACACTCCAAGCTTAAACCTTTGATTCAGTTGGATTTAGCTGCACGAAATACATGCATTTGTTGTCAAGGAATGGCTTTTGTATAGTGCCTCTAGACAGCCAGCAGCATCATCAATAGCAGTAGCATGGCCCATGTTGGTATTGACAAGGGTGACAGGAAGGATTTATTCAGGCAGGAGAAGCCAGGCATAAACATGTGGCGCTTAAATATCGATTTAATCTTCAGTGTCGTTTCATTGTTACCGAATGGGCCTGGTATACTCACTGTACTTACGCTATAGGTACAGATGCTTGACCTTTGTCTTATTTAGATTATGGTGGGATCCATAACTTTAGATCACAGTAAAAACATTAGGAATGTTTGTATTAAGATTTATGTTGTATTTATATAGTTTTCTTGTGACTGTAACCTAACCAGTCAGTTTCTTTATTTTTTACCATAATTGTTTTTTTTGTTTTGTAAGTCTTTGTGAGGCTGTCAAGATTGGCAAGTTAATAACAGTGTGAAATTAATGAGATAAAATTGGATTAGTTATTGTTTTGTGAAACAAAGAGTTGTAAACACTTCCTATGATTTAATGGAGACTCATTGGAAACAAGAATCTTCTTCCATCTTTACAAAAGTTCTAAACTGTAACTAAACGCACCTAAATTCTCACCTGCTCTATGTTGTACAAGGTTTTACTTTACTTTTAACAATTACTGTTTGGCAAAGCAAGATTTATTTTGGCTTTGCTTTTACTAATTGTGATGTTAGTTGTATGAGTTGTAATTGTTCAGTTGTATCTATTTGTGACATGCATTTGGCTTTTAATTAATTATCCTTCTGTCATGGAGGAAACAGGAAGAAACAAAGTAGTTTGTAGGATAGTTTATTGTGACTGCGGTGGTTTGTCCCACTGGGTACAGCAACCGGCATCTTGTGAGGTCATAGCTTGCGTCATGGAAAATTGTCAGACGTCCTTTTGTATATGTTAACAAGCAGCCACATGTGTGTTTGTGTGCACAAGCAGCATGACAGGATATGCTCAAGTCTGGAAGATTTACTTCTTAATTGCCACAGGAATTTAGATCTTTGTCATCTGTTTCAGTTAATGTGCTCAAAGCATGGAAG